ATTTTTACTATATTCTACTTTGTATTGTCAGTCTTATCTTTGAAATAATACCACAAATGTTAATCACTATGACTTTTACTAATTCTTAATAATTTATAGTCTATATTTCCAGATTTGTTGTTCTTTGTTATTTCACTCTTCACTTTTCACATTCTCAGGTGGATTTTAAAATCAGTTTGGTAGTTTCCATACACAAGAAAGAATTTTGGGGTATATTGTGCTGAATTGATAGAATAATTTGATGGGGATTGACAGGTTTACAATATGTAGTTTTCTCATCATGAATGTAGAATATGCCTCCATTTATTTAGGAATTCTTTAACTTCTCTCAGAAAAGCTTTAATATTTTTAATTTTTTAAAAAGATTTATTTATTTATGCATACAGAACTGGGGTACAGGACAGAGGTGCAGGGGCAGTGAGAGGATTCACCAGGAGATTGGGGAGCAGAACAGGCCAACTGATGAAGTAAACTGCTGAGGGGAGCAGCGGGTGGGTCAGGAGAGGTCTACTGTGCCATGTAGATCACCTCTGGGGAGGAGATTGAACTCATGCTAAAGTGGCTTTAGCTTCTTAGTGCTGTGCTTTAACCTGCTGTGCCACCAGGGAGAGCTCAAAAGCTTTAATATTTGTAAGTGTGGTAATCTCATATATTTTTTGTTAGATTTATTGCTGTGTATTTGACATATATGCTGCTCTCAGAAAGAGTAAATTTAGTTCATTTTATGTCATCTTAAAATGATGATAAAATATTTTTATAAGATTGGCATTGATTCAATGGTGATGTTATATTTCTTTGTGAGAAGGATCTTGATATGAATCACACACATGTGCACACATTACAGAAGCATACAAATGTAGCACTCAGCTCCCTTCAATTCCAATATGTGATTTCAATACATCTTATTTGTCTTTCTGAGATACACAGGAGACAAATGAAAGAACACTGCCAATTCTTAGCCAATGCTTCTCACATATTTTTTACAAAAGTGATTTTAATAATTTGATTTCTAAGTATTTCTTTAAAATTGCATAAATGTCTTATTTTCATCCAAAAATGAGTAATATTTATATTCAAGTAGAAATAAGGGCTAAATAAATATTGTGGAGTAGCACTGATACTTCATAGAAAGTGAACAATTGTTTCATCCAATACCTTTGCGCTTTTGGTATATACTACAGTAATTTGGAGTGGTCTGCCTTAGAAAGTCACAGCTAATCCTGACAAGTTTTATATATATCAGCATTAATGTCCTGGTCTCCTCTCAAAATATAAAAGAAGATATCGAGAACACATGCGGAATGGAGATTTTCTGATCTCTAATACTCATATCACACCAAGAGACCTGGATGAAATCAGCACTGTAAACTTCTGAAGGGTTCCCATTACCAGAGAAAACCAAACTCAAGGAAGTCAATATTGGGGAAGAAACAGTGGCATAAAATCATTCATTAAAAAATAAAATCCGGCCCTCCCTGGTGGCGCAGCGGGTTAAAGCACAACACTAAGAAGCTAAAGCCACTTCCGCATGAGTTCGATCCCCGCCTGCCCCGGAGGTGACCACATGGCGTGGCAGACCTCTCCTGACCCGCCCGCTGCTCCCCTCAGCAGTGTTCTTCGTCAGTCAGCCTGTTCTGCTCCCCACTCTGTCTCTGGTGAATCCTCTCACCCTCCGCATCTCTGGCCTGTACCCCAATTCTGTATGGATAAATAAATAAATCTTTAAAAAAAAAAAAAAAAAAAAAAAAAAAAAATAAAATCCTTGGGAGATTAATCTGTGCAAATCAATAAGTATATTAAGTTGCATTTGATTGTGATAATTTATTTATATTCCAAGCATTCTTGTTTTCAAACTTTTGTTTATTTGATGAAAGTAATTCTGACAGCTTGCAAGTAAACTGTAATTTTTCCTTCTGCTAGGAGAAATAGCTATTTAATGCTACAGACCAAGACATTACAGTATTAGGAATTAAGGCTATTTTATGGAAATCAAGAACTGAAGCTTCTATATCCCATGCAAGAAAAGTCTGTTCAAACATTTGATTTCATATAAGTCATCACCAATTATGATTTCTAATGCATGACCTATCAGTCATTTTTTTCTTATGAAAACATTGTTTTTATGTTTGAGAGGCAATGCTAGCTTACTGTAAATTATTTACTAGTCTCAATCAATTATTACAGAACATTCATTTCTGACAGGAACGGTTTTCATTTTACAAGCAAATCTGTTGCTAAGAATTCCAAACAAGATATGCCCTATAAAGGTTACTGTGTTCTAAAACTAGAGGCAGTTGAAAGACAAATGCTACTGGTGAATGTTATAAAAAAAAAAAAAAAAAAAAAAAAAACCTTAATAATACATGACTAGACACATTTAGATTTATCTCTAGTTGTATTCCTGAAAATTATAAATTGTCAACATTTTAAAATTGGATCAAACCTTTTAGTACTTATCTTTCCCTAATCTGCAGTCCAACCTGAATTTACTTTTATAAAATACGTTTATCTTCCTTCTACAAATTTTTAATATACAATGCCAAAATTTCTGCCTTACTTCATCTCATGTTGCCTCTGAAAACATAGAGGCAAAGAGAGAATTTCCAAGTTTGACATCATGGAAACAAATATTTCATCTTTTCCCAAACCATAGATATAATAATGAAACATCCTGTGGATCACTGATTATGCCTTATAATGTGAATTTTATTTTAGAATATTTTTTGGTTATTCAAAAAACTCAAATGCTATTTTAATGACCCAAACTATGTATGAACAGAAATATACAATTTTAAGTCATATGCAATTTTAATGTATCCATGAATAATAAAGAACTAATTCATATATTTTCTAAAAGTTTTAACTTCATGCCCTAAATGAAACAACCCTAAGGGCAAAAGAACTACAACGAAATTGTCAACTGTGCTAAGAAATTTTCACATTCGTGATGATACAGAGAGAAGCTGTCTGGTATATATTGTGGGAAAGCTCAAATAAATAAATGTAAGTGTGTAATCCAATCTTGGTATCTTTAAGTATCTTTAATAATAAAAAAGTGTTGGGTTATATACAGAGATGGGTAGAGAGTCAAATCCTGACACAAAGATAAAGCAACTATGACAAAATGTTAAAAATAAACACATACTGTGAGGGTTAAACGATTGTTCATTTCAACTTTTCTGTGATTGGATCTGAAATTTTTCTGCAGTTTCAGGAATTTGTAAAAAGGTTCAGGGATTGAAATATGTCTTCCCATCTTTTGTAAACCTCCAAATATGGACCCCCCCCCTAAAAAATCTAAAGCAAAATTTCATTTCTTATCAAAATTAACAAGTAAAACATACAATAACTCAGATACTTAAGATACTAAATATCATTATACATAAAGGCAGGTCACTTGTCCTGTAACCTCCACATTCAGGGCCCTGTAGCCAGCTGTTAACCATCAAATCTCCTAACAAACCACAGACACATGGTCCATCCCTCACCAGCCTTATTCACTCCACAAAGACTTTCCATCACTTCTACCCAAATACATGTCCTTTTCCTCCTATGACTCCTGACAACAGTAACTAAACTGTATTGATTTTCCTCCACCTCACAGCTAGTGTTATCACCTTAGTTTTTAAAGCACTTACTCCATACTCAAAGGTCCCCCTGTTCAGTCTTATGACTCCCATACTTCATAATTCATAAACAGAGAAGAGATAACCCTAAAGTAAACTCTGTAACATCTTTTGACATTGTCTATTTACATTCAGAAAACTGTATAAAAGTATAAAACAAGTCTCTATGATGGTTCAGTTGCCCTTTTCAGAGCTAATACAGAATTTTTTGTTCTTTCAGTATTATCCTTATTACACAAAGATTTTATCTACTCTTCCATTGTCAAGAGTTTACAATTTGTGGTAAAATCTGAATACTGTCTATAGTGGTGAATGTGATTCCAGTATGTCACAGCCCATGCAATTTTGATTGGCTTTTCTGCAAAATCTCAGAATTCCCTCAGACATAATAATGATTATGTGTAATTATCCACATGTAAAGTCTGCCCCGCTTGACTACAACATTTGGTCCAGTCACCCCACTATTGACATGCTAACAACCTCACAAGTTCACCCATTGCTCCTCTGAAATGATCAGGTGTAGATCTACTTTCATCTCTGATCAAATGTTTGTCCTTACCATGAATCCCAGCACCATTCTTTGTGCCATGAAGAGAAATCTCAGTCCCTCCAGCCAGGAAAGATGCTCAGACAGGCAATGTTGCAATCTGACCTCCAGAATCAACTCACTTCTAAACTATGCACACTGACTTTATAGCACTTGCCTCTGGAACCATAATTCCTAAGCCCATTCTTGTCCCACTTAAAGAATACCCTCTTAAAAAATTAAACCTAGAATGGTGCCTGCTACTTCAGGTACTAAGTTGTTCTATTATTCAGGATAAGAAAACATTCTCCTTTATAAATCATGATCAAGGATATCCTACCATTTCATTTTCCTATAGCAGGCAGGGGTTTTGATCTATCATGGGCTTTCACAAGAAATAAGAAGAGGTTCTCTTTCTGCCTAATTTACTTATGAAAATATTCAATTATATTTCAGCTTTAATTCACTTAGTAATGAAAAGTAAATGAGCCCACCAGCATGTTTGATTTGTCTTGGACCGAGAGAAATTGCTTTGCAAGAACAAACAAAAATTCAGTTGAAATAAGTGACTCTGTTTAGTAGTGGAAATTGCATTTCTTCTCAAAGAACTTCTAAACAGCTATCAATATGGGGTTGGCACCTTAAGAGAACCTGCCTCACTACAGGCAGTTTCCGATGGTACCTGGGACCTGGAGACCACACAGATGCACAGGTGTGTGTGGATATATGTAGTCACATATGCAGATGTATTTCATGTACTACAATGAAGGAAGCAATGAGTTCATGGATGGATGGTGGTTGGTGGGGCACAGGGTGGTACACCCCATTGCAATGCATATGTAACCTACCATTTTTACAGATGGGGCAGCATTGGTCGGGTTCATACACTGGGTCCACACACTCAGTCTGAGGACAGGCAGATACTGTGCACAGTACTTCTCCATTGGCTTCACAGCGACACCTCTCACACGGAGACACCTGAAACACAAGGCCACGGTCAGGGTCTCGCCATTCTTATCCTTCCAGTTTATGTTTTTCTTCCCACAAATCTTCTGTGAAAATATCCAAGTGTTTTAGAAATGGTAAAATTATCATCCAGCCCAGTGGTTCTCAAAGTGTGGATGCAGGACTCCCTCAGGTGAATAGGTTCCCTAGGGGCATAAATACATGTTAGACTAAAGGACTCCAGCTCTTCTCAGCAACAACCAAAGTTTCTGTTTTGATCAATTCTTTGTTTAAAAGTTTTCTTTTGAGTAAAGGTTTTTGTTTTGTTAAAAGTTAAACCAATACTACATCATATTGAATTCTTGTCCAAGCATCCATCATGCAGGTGAATTTCTTTTCCAGTGCCCTGCCAAGTGCCACCCAGTTGAGCCTGTAACACTGACAATTTTAAATTAAAAAGATACCAGAACAGGAAAGGGAGTGGCAGGACTGAAGGGTGGCAACACTGAGACTCTTCTCAAAGCCAGGCAACTCACCAGGATCTCTCTGAATATGAACTCATTAAACTCTCACTACAACTCTAAAATGCAATTATTGGCCTGTTTGGTTGGAGGAAACTGAGGCTCAGAGACAAAAGAAATTAACCATGGGCACACCTTTCATGAGCCTCAAGCTCCTGACTCCAAAGTCCATGGAGGTTTCACTCTCCTTCAAGCCTTCTATGCTCATTCCCTTTCATCACCCAGTGTTAGGAAGTCTATACACTGATCCTCAATCTGTATCTCTCTTCTTTGAGGCACTGACTCCAATTCTACCTTTATGGGATATCAGGTACAACAGCCATGTCTGGATAGGTTGTTCACTGCCAACCTAATGATGCATAGTGGCTTATTCAAGGTATGGTATGGTTGAATTTTTTTTTCCAGAAAAGTAACAGCAGTGCTATTTTTTACCTTCAATGACTCAGAACAAAGCAGAAACCACATATGCAGACCCAGCAATCAGATACAAAAGCTATGAGATGGAAATAGGCATTTTTGAACACAATAGAGAAAGAACTGTCAAGCTGTTCAAGGAGGCCTCAGTTGACCTATTTGTTCTCTACACCCATGACAGAACTGGCACTTGTAAGGTAAAGAAAGCATTATATTCTCAGAGAAGTTTCCTTTATCTAAACAAGGCAAAAAAAAAAAAAAAAAAAAAGAACACTAAAATCTATGAATGGCTTGGTGGTTTCATGAAGCAATGGTTCTAATTGTTTTCAAAGCAGCATCTTTTTCTTTAGCCACTACACCCCAGTGGACTTGGCTGGGGTCAGGACTTTGATGTGTTCATGTGTGCACCATTTAGAATAACAAAGGAGGGACCAAAACTCTTTAGAACAGCCCAGGACAAAATCATTTCCTGGTGTGCAATGCGACCAACCCTAGAAATTAAAATCAATCTTACAATGCATAAAGGTGCATTTTTGGAAGTGTCTTCGGCACAGTAATGTTTTCTCGCTACTGTAGTGAAACTTACTGCTTGTTGCTTCTGCCCTCATTTCCTATTCTTCCATCAACCCCACTGCCAACTTGTAGCATCTTGCATCAAGGACAGACTTAGTACAGAAATCAGGTTGAGAAAAGGATTGGTATTTTAAAAGCTGAGTTGTCAGACATTTGGTTCACTGCAAATGAGAAGGTTTAGTTAGAGGGTTCTGGGGACCCTCCATTAAGCCCAGAGTCTGCGTATTAAATGGTCACCAGGCCTCCTACACCAGAAGAGGTGAGGACTGTCCTCTCTAGAAGGCAGTACAGTGGGGGAGGAGCAAGAGGGTCAGGAACCCCAGTTCTGTCCCAAAGAGAGGAAAAAGGCCTGACACCACTTTGCCCCAGGCTGTCCTTCAGGGAGGCAGTTAAAAGCACCATTTGCATTGCAATTTTGATAACAGTTTGGAATGGCTCTCTTCCAGTCCCCAGAAATGGCTCCAGGAAAGCAACACAGGTGCAGTATGCAGTTGTAAGTCAAAAAGATTCAGGCTCTCAGGGGCAGCTGTCTGCACAGGGAGTCCACCCTGCCATACCACCAAACAGAGCTCTGGCCTGGCAATGACCTCTCCTTGCTGCTGGGCCTCACACATCACTGCAACCCTGCACTGAGGTGCCCATGTTCTGGCAGGTAATTTTCTTAAGAGTTTTGTAGTTTTATCAAAAATTGAATACTGAGTTATATTATCACTCAATATTTAGAAACCTTACACAGCTATTTGGAGATTTGTTCACTTTTAAGTAGTCAAGGCTGTGGCTTTGATGTGTTTTATCTTCTCAAGCCTCACTCAGTCTCCTTTTACCTGCTATGCTTGCCCTGCAACTCCTTTCACTGAGGCTCAGTATTTCCCCAATTTCCACACAAAGCCAGTCTGTGAAAGCAGACAGCAGAGCTGTGGCCGTTTCCTCACAGGACAATCTATCCAATATCGACTGTCAGCTCTCCCTGAGAAAATGCCCTCAGACTGGTCACAGGTCCCTGGCAGTCACAAGTCAGTGTTCTCATCATATAACAAGGTCCCAGAGCCCCTACCCATAATGGCAGTTACATATCAGAACACTCCAGTCTCCTTCTAGGAGTCAAGGGTCATAATCACCTTCTAGGGCTGAAGGGTCATAATCCTAATTCACAGGCCACCTTGTGTCCCTCTGGAACCAGTGGGTATCTGACCCATATTGCTGGCCAGCCTTCAATCTCCAGTCCTGCACCAACCAAATAATGTCATGTCTTCATCTCCCAAGCTCAATCACACCAGCTTACTGAGTCTACCATACTTCTGGTTTTCTATGCCTGGAAAGATTCTTTAGTCATGCCTGGAAAGATTCACCATTTGGTAAACTCCTGTTTGTTTCAGATCCAGCTCCAGAGATTCCACAAGCTCCCTGGGGAGCAATTTTGTTGCTAAAGCCAGTGAGCTGTTCTTTTCCCTCTCTTAAGCCATCACCTTACCCCCAACCTGTGTTTCACAGAACACTGAGATGATACAGGGAACACTGCTAAATAAAAAAAAAAAAAAAAAAAAACACACACTGCCATGAAATATCACAGGCACCTATGTGAACACAGCAAGGAAGATGCAGCCACATCAGCTCTGCATCACCTCATCTAGGAACCCAACATCGCCACCTGAAGTTTTGCTCAGTGGTCCCAGCACAGTAGAATTGAGCAAATATGCCAAGACTTTCAGATTGCAACTTCTGCTCCAGTTCCTTTGTGAAGGTTTGCTGGAAACTTCTCTGTCGGAAATGGGAGAACAATCTGGGGCAGGCTGGACAGTGCAGCCCATGATTCCAGCCTAGGCTGTGGCCTTGAAACAGGATTTAGATTGCAATAGTCAGTCCATCAGGCATCTGGGTTGTGATTAACATTTCTGCTGAATCATTTCAGCAGCCCACACACACTAAACCCCCACATGGTAGGAGTGCTGGCAGACACTGATCCAGACACTGATAATACATGATTAGATCCCAGGCTCCTGTTTGACTCCAGGCACCCTGTCAGAGAATCCCTCAGGCTCAGGGGTCCTTCACACCAGCTCAAGCACTGAATGGTCTCCTGCCACCCCCATGTCTTCTGTCCTTTGTGGGACTACAGGTAAGGAAGCATGCCAGTGCATCACTGCATCATCTACCTGCAACATGAATGTTGGGAAGTACTCTGCAGTCAGATGCGATAGGTCTTTCTTGTGACTCAAAGTTATTTTGTTCCCAAAAGAAGTTTAGCTAAGGATAACCTACTTCAAAACAATAGCACCTCACTACCAAAGCACAACCTACATTTTGCATAGCATGTCTTATAACAGGAATGCCATTTCTGGCAACCATGCAATTGAAATGTCACCCAGGTCCCTCACCCAAGCCTCTCACGCAGGCCCCATACCCAGGCCCAAAGAGCTGCAAAAGGAAGAATGTCAATACCCCTTGGTATCAAGATGAGCTGGCTAACCTGGTGTCAGGTTGCTGCCCAGGTTGCTGCTCCCACCCCCAGGTAGCCACTCAGATAAGGATCAAAGACGCTGAGAGAACAACTACCTCTCTACCTCTGACCAAAAAGGCAGCATGACTCACTGGTACATCTCCACTATATCCCCAGGACTGAAAGAGGGTGGGAGGGTGAGAGGGTGGGGGGTGTGCATATAAAAGACCAGTAGCCTGCACCTGGGGTACAACTTCCCAGGCCCCTGATGGGGACTGTGAACCTAGGGCAGGAGCATAATAACGCCTTCCCTTCTCTTAGTTCTGTCTCCTTGCCTTATTCTATGTGCCGGACCTTACGGCAATTATAATTCCACACTTTATATAGACAGAGTTTAAATACATAGTCTAGGGTTCAGTTTCAAGGTACCACAATGTACTAAGATTAGTCAAAAGTTGTGTTGGATTAAAAAAAAATGGTTTATCAAAATTGGGAGTAAGAATAAAGACAAGCTCTATGGCACTAATTCATTGGTTCAGTCCTGAGGCCAGACGATGACTATCACAGCCAGGGTACCCAGAGGGATAAGAGAAGGGTGAATGAAGAATGTGGTAGGAAGACAGGTGATGGGGAAGAGCACTGAACTGCCTTCAGGGATTGGGGCACTTGGCTGAGGGATACTCTTTCCAGTACAGACCACTTTCAAGTCACCACAGGAGCTTTGGCTTATAAATGACAACTCTTTAAAGAGCATTTAAGAAACACTCTCAGACCTGAAGCACTCTCAGATGAACAGACATATCTGGGCATGTTTTCAATAAAACAACTATAAACTCAATGTGCATAGCAGAGAGTAAAGACTGATATTAAGTTAAGTTGGAAGGCAATTAAAGTAGAATATATTCCTCATTAGCTAGAACCTTCTAACATTCAGTAATTATACACATACACATACACATTCTGCATTATTTATACTTAAGCAGTAAAGATCATAAAACAGACACTGAATTTGTTTTGAAGCAAGTATAAAAAGGTGATATAATTTATATGTAAAAAAATTTTTAAAGGCAAAATGAGCCCTACACACA